AAAATTTTTTCCAGGTCAGGATACCAGGAGATTTTCAGTCAAGGAATTCAATATTATTTTAAACTCCAACTTTCGTCACAGAAACGAGCCTATAATGATTTACAACTCAAAGATAGTCGAAAAGACTTTGTTTCATTCTAAAGATTATTACGAGCTGCAATGCCATCAGACCTAACCCCCACCCCAACTTTCCCTCCCCACCGCTCCGGTAGTCACTACCCACCTTTTCCCCCTCAGAAATGGGGGTATGTACCCCCTTCTTGCTAGACCTCACGGGCCAGAATCTTGAGTACCCCTGCGCTTCATTGCCATACCCTATTGAAATCTCCTTGACTTTTACACCACCCCTACCCCCTGTAAAATACTTCCATCTTACAGCATCACCCATCCTTTCTCCAACAAACACCCCCATTTTGGACATTTAAACCCCACCCGTACTACCAACATGGGGGTGGTCACTGGACTTTCGAGGGCGAAGCTAAAAGGAACTGCAAATGACCCTACCCCCTGGTGAAATTCTGGACCCCCATATTTGCTTACCCACCACTCAGTTCTCATGCTGCTTCGTGTCTGGACCCCTTCCATAGTCCACCAACCCACCGTCATATTCTACTCTCAGACACCTTTTATCGGAACTACCGTACTTTTTTAGGTTATCTGAAGGGGTACAAATGGTCCAAAGACATGTACGGGTACCGTTCCGTGACATGGGGTGTACCCCCACCCTGACACGACATAGTCAACCCCATCAAATTCACCCCTACCCACCCTTCTACTACCATCTTTCACTACCTACCCCTTCGTTCCCTCTTACTTGTTTGAAATCGCTGGTATCATACCTACCCACCCGTGTCAAGAAACATGGTAACCCCCCTTGCACGGTGTACACCGGTCATTCTAAGTAAACCTGGAATACACTCTCAGGCTTTGGTGGGTATTTTCCTGGTAAATATACCGGTATTATCAGTACCCCTCTGTGTATTCCACAAAATCATCACCACCTACCCACCCCCTCCTCAATTCTACCCCATGACGAGTACCCCCACCCACTACTGCAGTATGGCCCTGGCAATGGGTAGTGGCTGACAATTATGCGGACAGGCCTTCGACGCTGCCATTCGCTCCTAACCCCCTCCAGACCCTCCTGCTCCCCGTTCCCCTCCTAACTTTCCGTATCCTCGTCATGCTCAACATCCTTCACACTCTGCAGATTTCTCACATCCTTGATCGGATCCATACACTCCTCCACCCATGAGCTGCCAGGGAGGCTTTTCGAATACCCAGCTCGCACCATGGTCTTAGCTTTCTGCCCTGTGATCAGGAATGCACATCTCAGAGTGCTAGCCTCTATCTCCTAGCCTGTTTCGCATTTCCCCTCAATTCTGGCCGCTCTCGTCCCCCTCCTGTTTGCTGGAGAGTGTTTTGATAGCCCAGCCTCCTCCCACGTCTTCGTTTGTACTTTCCTCCTCGACTTTGTCACGTTTTTATACGTGGAGAGATGTGCGATGTTTGCTTATCATCATTGTTCAAACTTTACCAGAGTTTTCAGTCTTATCTCCCTTTCACTCCTCAAAATGAACAAGTGAATAACATGATCTCACACCGTAAATTTCCTGTTCCGCCAGTTTGTGCTTGTGTCCATCAGTGTCGCACTGCGATGTGATATTGCATTGCGCCATGAAAATCCTTTCTTCCATGGTCTGATCATCTCGTCTTCACAGGAGCAAATCAGATGTTAATTGGAACTTCACATGGAACCACCAGCTGAGCGAGAGAAGACAGATTAGACTCGAGTGGAGAACTCTCCACCTACGTTTCTGGATGGCGGAGAGCTTGCACGGAATGACATCGGCAGAGATGAAAGCAGATGAGGAAAAGTCAGACTCTGAGACCTCCTCATGGGACGGCCTGCTGCAGGGGCTGAATATCCCAGAATCTGAATCGAACAACACCCCTAGGAAGCACAGGACGAACTCCCCACTGTCGGATGAAACCCACGACACCATCAGCCACCACGACATCTTCGAGCTGAACGATCACCACAGTGATGAAGCAGGTGCCAGCACGTCCGACAAGAGCTCCGAGGACCTGCGCGCGTCCCACTCCTCAGCATCAGAGTCCTCACTTTCGCACGAGTCAACCCATGTGGATAGCTGCGAGCAGTTCCAGGAGGGGGGGCGGTCTTGTCACCAGCAGAGCAAGGATGCTGCAGGGATACATGCAGGTTGTCTGGACTCTCCGAGCGCAGCTCGAAACGGGACTCTGCGTCGATGCTGCAGCCCCCTTACGTCCCATCTGCATGGAGGGAACTGCAACAGCTTCAGAGAGTCAGAGGTAGGCTATTGCTCGCGCTTGTGGTGTGCTGATGAACCTCCGCAGTATGGTTCGGATGAGAGCTCAGTGGCCTCGTTTCTTTCGGAAGACTCCACTGTCTCAGTCCCCAACTACTATCACTGCCATGAGGCGCATACCTGGACCAACAGCTCCATGCCCATCTCTGAATGCTTTGTTGAGGGCCATGAGGAAGTGAAGCTCGAGCAGATTCACTGCAACTCGATCAAGGATTGCTCCAGAATCCTCCCGCAGAATGAGACGGCCAAAGTCGGCAACCCGCTCCACTTCGAGCCTGTGCCCTGCTTGATGAGCCTGGAGGACTACCCGGCGCTCTCTACGACCTCCCTGATCCTGCAAGAGAGGGACAGAAGGTTGGAGCTCGACCATTGTTCTCGCGAGTCGTCTGACAAGGGCTGTACAGGTTTGTTCGTCGGTGTGCTCCCTGCCGCAACTACTCGCTATGGAGACAGAAGGCAGCGTCTGCCCGCGTTTCTTCTCTCAGGTCCCCTTGCTCCCTCGAGCTCACCTCGTCCTCACCCTCATGGTAGCCTTTCGATCAAGCGCGGGCTGGAGAAGATGATCCTCCTGACGCCGATGGCCGTCAGCATCGCGCTGCTGATCTACTGCTTCGCCCTGGAGGTGCGCGCGACTCGGCATGAGACCGGGCGAGGGCCTGACAGGCGACTGCAGGACCCTGACCTCACCGATCGCGAACTGGTCTCGATCCCGCTCCTTAATGCAGCAGAGGGCGGGGATGTGAACCAGGTGACGTCGGTCCCCTCGTGCCCCCTCCTGTCTGACGCGCCCCAAACGCTCCAGGTCGCCCTCCTCCTGGACAACGGCGCTTTCATCGAGCAGAGGAACTATTACGGCCTCACTGCGCTCCACCGGTGCTGCTCATCGTCTGATCTGCCTTGAACTCACGCCAAGTCTTCGCAGGGCCAGTGAGGAGGGGAAGATACATGTGGTACGGCTGCTGCTGTCGCGAGGAGCAGGTGCGATGGTTGGAAGGCAAGGTTCTGCTTCCTGACTGTCTCCTCAGACTACAATGCACAAGATTGCGATGGGGGAAGGCCGCTAGAGAAGGCTGCGCAGCAGGCAAGACGAGAAGAGAGCGTGCTTCTCCAGCTGTGTTGCTGACTAGGGCTACAGGGGCACAGAAGGACAGTGAACATGCTGGCAGCATGGGGGGCGGATGTTCATTACAAGGACACGATGGGGTGAGCGAGGAGGAGGAGATTTTTTTGCAAGGCTGATCACTGGGCAGGTACACGCTTCTCATGAGAGCTGCGGAATGGGGTTGGCTGGACGTCGTGATGTCAATCTTGCACGATGGCAAGACAGACATCAACGAGCTGGACCTCTTCGGAGAGACGGCGCTACTGAAAGCTGCAAGGCAGAGCAGGAGGGAGGTCGTGGATGCGCTCATCCGCCACAGAGCCAATGTTGGACATCGGTGTGCCGACGGCAACACCATCCTCGTGTGGGCAGTCCGCAACGGATGGCTCGACCTGCTCCCCCTCCTCCTGTCCTACGAGGGAGTGTTCTCTCCTCGGGACAAGAGCGCTGCTCTCAGCGCGGCAGTCAAGCGGGGGATGCTGGCAGAGGCGTCGCTGCTGATCAAGAGAGGAGCCGATCCGAAGAAGAGAGACCCCAACGGGAACACGCTGCTGATGCGAGCAGCGAGCCTCGGCCACTACAACGTGGTCAAGGCCCTGCTCAAGGTCAAGTGCTGCCCTGTTGATGCTCGGAATGTGCATGGCAAGACGGCGCTGATGCTGGCGGCGGAGCGAGACGACAAGGAAGGATACAGGTAGGAAGGAGGTCAGGTGAGAGGAGGTCAGGTGTTGATGTGGGGGGTCAGGTGCGCGGCACTTCTCGTATCCTGGAGGGCCTCCATCAACCTTGTCGACGACTCGGGGGAAACTCCCCTGATTAAGGCGGCGAGCAACGGGAACTTGCACCTGGTCAAGCACCTGCTCAGCAAGGGAGCGAGGACGGACCTGGTGGACTCGGCGGGTTTCTCAGCTCTCCGACGCGCGACCTTCGAGGGTCACGAGGACGTTGTCAAGATTCTCATCGGGGGGAACGACGCGCGTCTTGCCCAGCCGTCTGTGAAGCAGATCATATCGCAGCTGGGGCTGGTCGACCTCCCTGACCTCGTCGCCTCCCTCAAGGACGGCCTAGCCGTGCACAGCTCGCTCTCCTCCTCTTCCGTGCAGCACAGGAGCACGTACAACCTCGCGGGGAGGGTGTGGAGCAGGATGCTGACGTCTTGGGGCGTCGGCGGCCTCGTGCTGCATCCCCCGGCACGGCGAGTGCAGATGCCGGCAGGGAACATGGCGAGCGGGGGAGGGAGAGGGCAGCTGGACGGAGACTTCTTCCGGAGGTCGGGGGAGAGCAGGATGCGGGAGGTGAAGGAGCAGGCGGAGGCTGCTGAGACCTGCAGGCACCTGCCCAGGTTGGGAATCGACAGTTGCAAGCCGAGGGTGCCGACACGGGATCTCGATCTCAAGGCTGCACTAGAGGACGACGCGCGGGTTCCCTGCGACTCGCTATGCATGCTCGAGCGGCTGGCGCCATGGCTGTCGGCGATCTGGAGGAGGTTCACCAAGAGGAAGAGGCTCATGTCGTGCAGGACGAGGGATCGTTTGCTGCTGCACATCATGCGGTTCGGGGAGAGGCTGCGGCAGATTGAGTACGAGAACGCGAGCATCGTGGTCTCGCCACAGACGCTGTACGGGGAGGAGGCGGCGGATGAGGAGGAGTACGACGACTGCGGGGGAGACTGTGACGGTGACAGTTGAAGTAACGGTCTGTGGTGGGACTGATGTCAGTCGGCAGGGATCAGCGAGGACGACGTGTACGCGTTCTTGGACTGAGGGCCTGAGGAAAGGAGGGAGGGGGGCCGAAGGAGGGACGGGGAGATTATTCTTTGATGGCTGGGTTGTAAGTAGATGACCGGGAGGAGGAGGAGGAGGAGGAGGAGGAGGAGGAGAAGGCGGAGGAGCCCTTGGGAGGGCGGGGAGTGTAAAGTAGAGGAGGAGAGATGAATCAAGGTAGTTGAAGTAGATTGTTGCACTGATGAATGAATTTAACAAGTTGACCTCAGTGAATAAGGGGGCTCGAATCCTTTATTCTCCATGTGCCCAATTATGACTCTGACATTTGAAACCTGCATACAATAGTTGAAATTTTTCCATGAACTTCCGGCTCGTCATTCACGGCCCCTACTTTACAGGCCCTCGACTGTATGAGCCCGCCTCAGAGTGTACTCATACCGCCCGTCATGGCGCTGCGGGGCGCTTGCTTCGCATGCATGCGAGAGGGAGGACGAGGAGGACGAGGAGGACGAGGATGAGGAGGATGAGGAGTGTGGTGAACTAGGAAGGCTGGAAGGATGATTGCAAGGCGATCAAACTGTCACGCTGTGGGAAGGGAGAGCTTTTCGAGGGAAGAGTAACAACGAAAAGAGAAAAACAGTTCCGCAGCAGCATCGTCGCTCTTGGAGTCCACAGCAGGAGGATGAAGTTCTTTGAGCAAGGAGATGAGCAAGAACATCCTCGCCCAGTCTTCTCAGTAGCCGACGGGCAGTCGCTCAGCGAGGCGCTGGAACGTCTGGAGGGAGGAGAAACCATCCAGCTGCAAGATGGTTGCTACAATCATGTCGACAAGTGGCTACTGCACAAGCCCGTGCGACTTGTGGGAGCCGTCGATGAGGCCACAGGCTCTCCTGCTACGATCTTGACTGGACGGTTCAATGTCTCCGTCCCCCCGGCCGAGCCATGGCGGGGGGGGCAGGAGCAGGTGACGAGCTTCCGAAACATACACTTTGCGTCTGAGAGCGGGTACTGCTGCGAGGTCGTCCAGGGAGAAGTTCAGATGTACAACTGCAAGGTTGTGTGCGAGAGAGGAACTGCCATGATGGTGGACGAGGCTGCAGTCGGGTTGCATGCTTGCTTCATCGGCTCCGAGGGCGGCAGGGCCAACTACGGTGAGGGGAGTTGAGGTTGGATGTGTTGACGAGTTGATGTGGCAAGGAGAGAAGATCTTGCGATAAGAATAGAGCATGTGATAAGAAGAGATCATAGCAAAGAATATGTGATGAGAAGAGAACATGTTGTTTGATGAGAGAAGCTCGCAATGACGAGGGCGTGCAGGCTTGCAAGTCGGGGACAAGGGGGAAGTCTGGGCGACCGATTCGACCCTTGCAGGATGCAAGACAGGAGTTCTGTTGAAGGACAGGTCTGTCTTGAAGCTCCACCGGTGCTACATGACATCCATGCTCCAAGCGTTTGGGTGAGTTGATGAAACATTGCTTTCTTCCTAGATCCTGTCTACAGTCTTCTCGCTGCTCTGCTCTGCTCTGCTCTGCTCTGCTCTGCTCTGCTCTGCTCTGCTCTGCTCTGCTCTGCTCTGCTCTGCTCTGCTCTGCTCTGCTCTGCTCTGCTCTGCTCTGCTCTGCTCTGCTCTGCTCTGCTCTGCTCTGCTCTGCTCTGCTCTACTTGCCCTCCCTCCCCTACTTGCCTTCCCTTCCCTTCCCCTTCCCCTTCCCCTCCTTCCCTGTCATGATCTTTGTTGTCAACTCCTCACATCGCGTCTGCACAGTTGCCTGGTCCCCAACGAGGCCGTGATGGAAGTGAGCAAGACAACACTGACGGACTGCGAGTTCACATGGCACAGAAACTCCCGACCCTGCGAGCTGTTTCAGCAGGTGAATGCTTCTTTGTGGTGATCAGCAATGTCAGCACCGTGCTGCTCCACAGCATGATGTTCACCATGACATGGCATGTCGAATGAATCGGCACATGATCTGCACTATCATGGCAGCCTCAACAACACGTTCGGTCGTGACGTTTCATCTTCATTGACACGTTAGTGCCTTACAGGAGAACTCAGACGCCAACGGCAACCCTCTCCGTCTCCATGGCAGACAAGATGGAAGGCACAGTTTCCGCTTCGGGGAGCTGGACGTGAAGGAGGAGGACGAAAGATATTGAGAGGCTCCCTCCCTGCTCTCTCGAATGCTCTGATGATATAGGAGTGCTTTCCTTGTTTCTGTCACTCATCAGTCTTCCCTTCCTTATCCTCCTCATCTTCTCTTTCGCCTGATTGCAATTGCTCCTCACCTACAACACTTGGCTTGTCTTTGTTCAATCTTCAATCAGCGCCTTCAGCACGTGGAAATTTCCTTTATCTCTGCTCTCGTATCTCTGCCTTGATTTACACTTCTCCTCCTTCTCCTCCTCTCCTTCCTTTCACCATCTCCAATAAAACCCTTTCCTATTCTGCTTCCGCCGGCCCATCTCTACGCTTTCCTCTCTCTCCTTCAAAGTGACTCTGACTTCTGCCTCCTCGTCCTCTTCTTCCTGTTCTTCGTCTCGCCCTCCCCCTCCCCCTCCCCCT